ACTCCCCAGGGGGTATGGCCACGCTGCAATCCCTTCTCCTCCATTCTCCTCTCGGGATCTTGGGCACGCACGTACACGCACCTGGTGTGAGTTTTAAGTCACTGGGTCCTGGACGCGAATCGCGGTCAACTACGTGGGAGTCCAGCAACATAGCCATTACGCTAACTAACTGCTGGTTCCCATAATATCTTTGTCTTGATTGACATGTGTGGTATTCGTGCTAAAAAAGAAAGGTTGTACACTGTAAAGACGTGACTAAATGTAAATAAATAAAAATAAATTTGAAAAAAATTAACTACTAGATTTTAAGTTTAATGAATGGCAAGATCAAAGTCATATTTGAGGGGCCAGCAGGTGGTGTGGTGGCTGAGACACTGGGCTCCCACATGGCCGACTGTGGTTTGAGTCCTGGATTCGGTGGCCTGAAACTTACGCTGGGTGTAGGTACATGCATGCTCAAGATCTCAGGGATTGTGGCATGACCATCCTCCCTGGAGTCAGGGAGTGATTTCTTGCTTTCTGTCTCTCTGTTGCTCTCTGTCTTCTTGGTGAGCACAGGCACCCTATAGCACCTAAGGACCATATGTGGGCTAACAAGATCACAAGGGAGGACAGCAGGTAGCATGGTAGTTAAGGCACTGGACTCCACATGGCTGACTGAGATTTGAGTTCTGGACCCAGTGGGCTGAAAATTGCACCAGGCACATGTGTGTGCATGCTCAACATCCCAAGAAGAGAATGAGGAAGAAGGGACTACAGTGTGGACATCCCCTTGGGGGGTGATTTCTCGCTTTCCTTCTCTCTCTCTCTCTCTCTCTCTCCATAGAGAGCACATGCACTCTATGGGAAAAAATTTAAAAAAACATCACAAGGAAAAGCATGATCACTCAAAATGGTGCTACCTTCTGACCTCACATAACATGCATGTGTCTATGTGGTTGGGACGTCTGATGCTGCCCAGTGGTTCGAACTGGCCACAAAAGCGTGGAAACTGAATTATATAAATTTGCATCAGGTTTTTAGGTTTGAAACTCAGAAAGTTTATTTCTCTCTTCTTTCCAGATCTATGATCCCACTAATAAAAGGTATGAGGTCCCAGTGCCTCTGAATATACCTCCCTCACCAGTTGACTCCCCTGAAAACTGCCTGTACGATGTCAGGATTCTGAACAATCCTTTTGGAATCCAGGTTCGACGCAAAAACCCCAACACTGTGATGTAAGCACTGTTTATTTGGTTCTAAATGAAGTGGTTCTAGGTCCAGATACAGCGGTTCTAATGAATATGGGTGAAATATTAATCTCAGAGACTCTGTATGTTTGTTAAATAGTGTATCTATTTCCTCCCACTTCATTTGGGAACTTTATTTCCTACTGGTCATTAACTCAAGAAAAATTAAGCAATCAAAGTTTAAAAACTAATTAAGTGTTGCTTGTTTTCATAGAAAGAAAAAATATATGTTCTATTTGTTGTTCTTGTTAAGTAGAAAACTAATAATTGTAACAGATGACTTCATAGATAAATCAGAACTATATTATGCCTCATTAAGAAATAATAACTGGGGCCAGACAGCAGTAAAACACCAGGCTTTGTGATGTAACCCCATATGGGAAGGTCCCTGGTTCAAGTCTGGAACTTGCCCTGAGTATCCTAGGCACATGCTTCCCCATGGTCTTGGGCTGGGTTGGAGCATGGCAGTGGGAGCCTGTTGAGGGGTGCTAGCTCTCTCTTGGAATAAATAAGTTAAAAAGAGAGAGAAATAATAACTGAAGAGGTGGGAGAGGAGCAAAGGATAAAAAGAGAGAAATGGCTTCTTATAAACTTTGCTTCTATGGCCACCATAGACTTAAAACCTTTTCATGATGTTAGCATGAAAGAAATGGTCATCTCTCATCCCCTGTCCTACTGCTGAATGAAGTGAAGGGAAGGACTGGATTTTGCCTGGGGTGAGATTTCTCATCCCCGCAGAAGCTGTCACCTGAATGTGAACATGTGTACCTATCTGTATTTGGCTTTTGCTCTCTTCGACCGTATATCTTATTTTCTTTCTGTTGCCATCCTTGGTAAGAAGTTCTTTAGCTAAGCCAGAGAAGTTGTTCTGAATATTTCACTTTTTCCTGTCAGAAAGTTGCTTAGATCACATTCATTTATTCATATATTCGTTAAGACTGATATGCCAGGCATTGAGAATTAGAAATAAAGAGATGAAGGCCCTCAATGAGCCCATGACCAAAAAGAAGTTCTCAGTCTTGCAAACCACATAAAAAAAATGTAAACGTAGAACCTCAATAGTGAGTCATGACCATGGTTATGATCTGGGTCATTTCAATCTTTGAACCTGGATCCAGATGTGCAATAATTCAGGAGAATTTCCTGACATTACTTCAGATGTATCTGTGTCTGCTCTGGGCTGATCTGTAGCTCAGCATGGAGGTCTGCCTTGTGTTGCAGTTGGGACTCTCAGCTCCCCGGCTTCATCTTCAGCGACATGTTCCTCTCCATTTCTACCCACCTTCCCTCGCAGTACATCTATGGCTTTGGGGAAAGTGAGCACACAGCTTTCAGAAGAAACATGAGCTGGAACACATGGGGAATGTTTGCTCGTGATGAGCCCCCAGCGGTAAGGACAGAGGGATATTAGCAGTTGGTTTCTCCTTAGCTGAATGTATTTGAAACCTTATGCTCCTATGAGGTGTCTATTCCTCAGCTTCACTTCATATTGATAAATTCTGATCTCAAATAAAATGGGCCACTTGCCACGTCCATTAGTCCCTAAAATATATATATATATATGTATATATGTGTGTGTATATCTATATATATATATAATATATAGTTGACTATGAATTTTATTTATTTCACAAACTTTTATTGAATCAAATTCTGCATATCAATTAGGCACATTGCTAATTGCTTAGCTACAAATTTATTAAGACATTAGCTTTTTGGGGCTTGCAGGTGGCATGGTGGCTTGGGCACTGGACTCCCACATGGCCGACCGTGATTCATGTTCCAGACCTGGTGGCTTGCTTTCTCACTTTCTCTCTCTCTCTTTCTGGTGAGTGTACATGCTCTGTAACAGATTAAAAATAATGATAATAATAAAAAAAAGACATAACGACTTATAGGCTCATGAGAGACACAGGTACAGAAATAATGACAACACAGGATAATCAGTCCTCTAATAGAATTATGTAATGATAAACGAGACAGACACAGAGGGAAGGAGAGCATGGGTGTTTCCTTGGGGTGGAAGGAAAGGGCACATAAGGCTTCATAAAGAAAGAGACACTGAGCTGATCATTTAAGGTGAAGTATGAATTTGCTGTTGGAAGTATGCTGTAAGAATAATTTCTTGGATCTTTTGTATTACCCCATGACTCTCCCAGTACAAGAAGAACTCCTATGGTGTCCACCCCTACTATATGGCACTGGAGGACGATGGTAGTGCCCACGGAGTGCTCCTGCTCAACAGCAATGCCATGGGTAAGACGGAGGCACATCCCTGTGTAACACCATGGACAGCGGTGATCACTGTGCTGGGATATGAGATATCAGTAAAAATAGAGATATTCAGGGGCACAAGAAATGGGACAAATAAACTGACCTTCTGTTCATTCATTCATTTTTAAAACATTAAACAACAAATAATTTCCTCAGAGCTCTAGACTAGGTATTAGGTGTAAAATTTTGACTAAACATGGTCTCTACTCTTTTTGTTTTGTTTTTAATTGTCAGATGGTACATGTGCTTGCCAAAGAGAGAGAGAGAAAGAGAGAGAGGGAGCAAAGCCCCCTATGGGATATGGCCATGCTGCCATCCTTTTTCCTTCATTTCCCCTTCTGATCAGTATTTTGGGAATGTCAGCACAGAAACACCCCAGAGTGTTTTTCAAGCCACCAGGGCTGGGATTCAGACTGTGGTCAGCCATATGGGATCCAGTTCTCAATGCGCAGTCCTTAAGCACTGCACTATGGGACAGTCTCTACTCTTATGTTACCTTGTATTACTATGACACTTTGATCCTTTTCAGAGGGATGTAAATTGTTGACATATCTAAAAATCCATCTCTGATTCCACTGAATGAGAAAAGC